CGTCTCCACATCGACAATCGATCCTTGAGCTCAAGCGGCAGCGTGTTCAGGCGAGCGAGAGCTCAAAGTCTGTTGACAGTCTGTAGATATTGTTCTATCTCATATGTTAGACCCATTTTAGGATGCCATCCTCTAAAATTTGTCTTATTAACAGAAAAGAATCAATCCAAAAGCGCTTTACTAAAATTGCCCTCCTAAAGATTGTTTACGAGAAGTATCATAACTATAGCTATGAACACATAAAGTCTTGTCTCACATACGCAAAGTTTTATGTTACAATAGGATTTTCTAACACTTTCAGCTAGTTAATCTACTTACAGCTATTGCTAGTTAATCTACTTATGACCGGATCTATAATATCTTGTTAATCTTAATCTATTGGGTTGGTGAATTGAAAACTGCGGGACTTTGAAATAAAATTTATTCAACATAAAACCATCAATTCATTCCAAATAATTTCCATTATTATTGACGACTTCTGCCCATTTTACAGGCAATTTGCGGATTCCTCTTTTGGTAGGATTTTGGTTTGTGTGTGAGACAAGTGTGAGACTCAAAAATGGAGGACTGGAGATGTCAGCTGTCAGCCCAGTTTGAGCACTTTCTTCAAAAGAAACCCATTTTGGTGTCAATAGAAAAGTTGTAGAGAATCAAAAATTAGGCTTATAGCCAAATTTCCAAAAAGATACACTTAGTAGGTTAGCTTAAAATGCATGTTTTGTTGCAAGTTTTGCGAAAATTCGTAAATTTGGCATTTCTTGAAAACCAGTTTTTGAATCGTTCTGAAAATTTGGATATAAGCTTAATTTTTGATTCTCTACAACTTTTCCATTGACACCAAAATGGGTTTCTTTTGAAGAAAGTGCTCAAACTGTGACCTACGACAATAGCCGGCAGTTTTCAATTCACCAACCCAATATAATATCAGTTGAGTCCAGGCCCGTGGCCAAGTAGAGCCAAACGTATCATTTTTTTAAAGTTTGCCCCTCCTCGTAATCAAAACATTTTTGAAGCAAAAGTTGTGTTTCTCACTAGCCCTTTTCTTTAAAAAAAGTTGCATTTTTCTTTGAAAATCTGTTCTTACGTTACGATTTACGATCCAAAACTCGAATAATTGCTAATTGCATGACGCAAAAACGGAAAAATTGCGGTGGCTGACGACTGGGGATAGCAGGCCCGTACCCAGGGCCCAGGGGGGCGGGGCAAGGGGAGCATTTGCCCCCTCCCCCGAAATTTTGAAAGGTTTTTTATCATTTTTTGTCCCCTTTGTTCTTCTCACCCTTATATCTCGGCTACATTTGAGTATTTTGAATGACCTTTTTTTGTAAAATATGCGCATTCAATTTTGGTTTTACTGTTTTTAATTGGAAAATGGATTGCTCAGAGAAATCCCAGAATATTTCAGCTGGAACAGAGTGCTATTTATAGCAGTTTGTAGTCTCGTTCTATGGGCTAGGACTACAAGCCTGAAAAAACGTTATATTTCAGCGCAGAGATGATGGATTGGCCTGATCTTGGTGCCATTCAAAAGCCCAAATTTGACTCAATCTATTGGTAAAAACAGTTTGTAAAAATAGCCATTCTACGTGTTTCTACAAGCGTTTGTAGTTTGATCTTGTAGTTTTTTGCGCCCGTTTTTAGCGATGTCTAGTAGGGACTTCAATTTTTTTGGCCGAAACTTGTTTCTGGCTACAGGCCTGGTTACTGGACTTACGATATCACAAAATTTAATCATTTTCTCACTAGAATATTCATATGCGCATCAAGATTCATTCCTGAAAAGCTTTCTACCAAAAAAAAACATTGTTTTGTTTGTTTTGAATTGTTTTGAATTGTTTTAATTGTTTGAATTGTTTTAATTGTTTTAATTGTTGAAAAACTCAAGTGATAATCATTGAGCAATAGCTTTTTTTGTAAGGAATTCTGTTTCAAAGTGGATCTTGTTCTTGTTTTTGATCTTGTTTTTAGTAGAACAAAATGCGTGGGCTGAAGACAATCATTGCCTTTTGCACTCACTTTTTTTATTTTTTTACTATCCTTTGAACTTCTCCTGATAAGGTGATTACGTCAAATCAACGTTTACGGTTTTTTTGGCCAAAATACGCCTATTTAAGTCTAAGCAATGCTTAGACTCAGCACTTTCCTTCACTTTTTGAATAGCTACACATTAAAAACAATTTAAAGTCTAGGAGATGAACCACAAACGGCCATTTGTGATTCTTACTTCTTATTTACTGTTAGATGTGCTTGAATACTATTGGGTTGGGGAGAATGAGTCGGCGCCGAAAATCAAAAAAATGTCTAAAACTTCTAGCAGAATTCGTCAAATAATATGCGTTTGATATCAGTAGAATGGTTAACTAATTCTCTACAAAATGACATTTAAAAGAAAATTCAAACAGCGCCTCCGCTCAAGAAAAAGCCATTTTTTCACAAAAACTACAAACTGTCATCTAGAAAAAACCATTGGTGGGATCTTCCTGCAAATTTGGCAACTTAAGTAATTGAATGTGCTCTATCTTTTTTTATATAAACACCAAAGAAGGTTTATGTGAAAGAAACTGTTCAAATGATGAGTCGGACTCTTTGCCATTTTAACCAGCTGCGTTTGGAAGTTCATAAACTCCACGAAAGAAAAGCTTTGTGGAATCTCTCAAAAGTCATTTTGTAGAGAAATAGTGGATCCTTTTGATGAAACCAAACGTATGTTTAAAGAAGGCTTTATGTGTGCAAAAAGTCCCTTTAAAGTTTGGCGCCGACTCATTCTCCCCAACCCAATAATACAGGGTTGTCTAGGATTACGGGGACTGGGGATATCTTTGATATTGCATATTTTTCCTTACAATTTATATATTGTTTTTGTCTTTCTTTAGGTTTATTTTATCTTTCGTCTAGATTTAATGCTTTGAGCACGAAAAATCGTGTCGAAACTTTTTTTTGGCGATTTTCATAATCTTTACGAGCACAAAATTCATCATTGTTCTCTAGAATGACTCAAATTTTCAATAAACTGGAGTGATAATGTTTTTACATCATTGAGAAATTTCGCCTTTTGGCTATAAACCGATTTTTAAACCCATTTTTAAACCCATTTTTTTCTTGTAAAGATTAAAATGATTTTAAACTAAAAGAATCATTTTCTGATCTAAAGAATTTAAAAAAATGAGAGCAAAACATATTTTTGTTCATTTTGCTTTCTTTTATTTGTATTTACAGAATGATTTCTTGATTTTCGGCTTTCATTTGAGACTGAATACCCAATCTGGACTAAATACCGTAATCCAGCTAATCTAGACTGAATACCCAATCTAGACCGAGAAAAGAATCGATTTCGGGGTTTCTAGAATGGTCAGTAATGAAAGGTCAGTAAGGAAAGGTCAGTAAGAAAACTCATTTTTAAGCTTTTTAGTTTTGATTACTTTGCTAACAAATCATTTACTAATTTTGAAGTGTTTATGGAGATTTGAAATGCAGATTTGAAAAAAATGGCATCATGTTGATAGAGTTTTATTTGAGAAATTGCGAAAAAATGAATCAAGCTATGAGGAAAAGCCTCACTTTCAGTACAATTCTAACTTGAACACCTAGAATGAGGCTTTTTTTCAACACCTAGAACACCTTAAACACTTCAAAATTAGTATCAAAAGCCTCACTTTCAGTATTAAAGCCTCATTCTAGGTGTTAAAGTTAGAATTGTACTGAAAGTGAGACTTTTCCTCATAGCTTGATTCGTTTTTTCGCAATTTCTCAAACAAAACTCTATCAACATGATGCCATTTCCTTCAAATCTGCATTATTTCAGGATTTGAGGGTCTTTTCCTCCTTGAACCTCAAATCGTAGGTAAATATCAAAGGGAGAATAAAGGGCGGAACTCAACTGACGCCATTTGAGGAAATCTCCCACCCTCCCAATCATTTAAGCTATTTTCTTCGAATATTTTGCAATAAGAAATGAAATTGAGATTGGAGTGTGCTCCTTCCAAGTAATCACTTTCTAAAACGCGCTCCAAAGGGAAAAACTAGTTTAACGGCTGGCCGAGTGGCTTGCGTGCTTGTCTCTAAAGCGAACAGCCGGTAGGCGGCAAGTTCGAGCCCGGCTCGAGCCAAATCTTTTCCTTTTTTCATAAAAAAAGCTCTTTGCTTCTTTGCTAGATCGATTCAGATAGTTTTAGTTAACAGTTACTCAAAGTATCAGCTTTCAAAAGCATAGAAAAATAATAGAGCTGTTTATTTGACAATTGAAAAAAGAATTTTCAGTTTATTTCATTCATTTTGCATTTGAATCTCTAAAATCATACTAAAGATTTGTTATTATATTGAGATTACGGGAGTGGGACAAATGCGACCTTTTTTTGCGCACCCGGACATTTGCGCACCTTTTTTCCGCACTTAGCCCATTAGCGCACCTTTTTTCGCGTTTTAAAAAAGCTCTAAAAGCTAATATTAACCAATTTCTATTCCAAAAGTTGTTTTTCTAGGTAATTTTAGGGCGTAGTATCGAAATTTTGACATATCAGAGCTTGTGGAAAAAAACGGACGGAGTTATACAAAGAGAAAAATCGACAATTTTCTGTAATTTGACCTAGCCGTTTTGTCTTTCAAATTGGTTCCACACGCTCTGTTATGTCTAAATTTGAATTCGACACCCTCAAATTACCTAGAAAAACAAGATTTGGAATAGAAATTGGTTAATATTAGCTTTTTAGAGCTTTTTTAAAACGCGAAAAAAGGTGCGCAAATGTCCGGGTGCGCAAAAAAAGGTCGCTTTTATCTCACTCCCGAGATTACTCATTTTTAAAGCTATTTTCCTAAACTTCATTCAATTTCTGAACCAAAATAAATCTAAATTTCTATCAACGAATCTCTAAGCGAACGTTCTCATGAAAATTATTCATCTTGTAATCTCTTTGCATTCTTTAATGAATATTTCATTTTATTTCATTTTATATCTTATCGTTGGAAGAACACTTTTCAAAAAAAGCCCAATTACAGCTAATTTTATGTCTTCAATCAGCATTTGGAAGCTATTAATTGTGATTTTGGCTGTCCTCTATGGAACAAATGCTATGGTAAACGAAAATCCTAAAATTTTAACCATAAATATTTTAGTCAATACAACATCGAGCAAAACGATCAACAGAAGAAGCTCTAGAGATTCCCGAGAAAGCGCTCATTGTTGACGATTCGAACAGCGACTCTGTGTACATTGTGTTGCCAAAGCGAACGGCCCGACAGCCAGACAAAGGTGAGAGTTTTTAAGTGTTTCTGAGTACAAAATGGAATGGTTTTGAGAAGCAATCATTGCAGCTTTGTTTATGACTTAAATTAATGCCTTTTTGGCTAATTTTAGGCAATGTGAGAATATAAATCACTAGAGCAATGAAACAGGAGATGTTTTAACATGTTTTAACATGTTTTAACATGTTTTAACACGTTTTAACAGGTTTTAACACGTTTTAACACGTTTTAACAGGTTTTAACACGTTTTAGCAGGTTTTAACATGTTTTAACACACTTTAACAGGTTTTAACACGTTTTAACGGGTTTTATCACGTTTTAACACGTTTTAACACGTTTTAACAGGTTTTAACACGTTTTAACACGTTTTAATACGTTTTAACACGTTTTAACGGGTTTTAACACGTTTTAACAGATTTTAACGGGTTTTAACATGTTTTAACACGTTTTAACAGTTTTTAACGGGTTTTAACATGTTTTAACACGTTTTAACAGTTTTTAACGGGTTTTAACATGGTACGGCCCACCAGTTGGCCGTTAGCGGATTTAGCACTTTTTTTTCAAGCAGATTGAGCTGGAAATTTCCAAACAGGGGTTTTTGAGGATGCGGAATTCGAATTCGTGATTAGTTTTTAAAGAAAATTGCTCTATTTTTGGATATTTCATTCGGTTTTCATCCGGCTTCTATCCAGTTACAAATTCTCAGGTCTAAAACTAACATACAGGGTGACCAGAAATCACCCGTCCTTTTTTTCTAGGCTCATATTTCTGTTATTTGTAGACCAAAACGATTAATTTCTTTTTTAAAATAAAATTCACATCGTTTTCTGTATATGTTCAAGATTTCATGACCATAGCATCGATAGAAAAGTTTTTATGAACACTCAAAAATGGCTGGTCAAAAATAACGAGCCGCAATTCAAATTTAGGCCTTTATTGATGATCTTATAGAAAATATTCACGCATTTAACATTTTTTGAGCTGAAACTACTATAGCTGTCATCCGAAACGGCAGCCAAGTTGAAAAAAGACGTTGTCGTGAACGTGTTAAGAAAACTTTCGAGTCAGAGCCGGAGCTTTATTCAAAAGCGCATAACTAGCCTCTAGGGTTGTGTCAAACATGCAAATTGTGTACAAGATTTGTGTCAATCAAGTCTTGTATGCTTTGCTCTGTGATATAGCTATGCTTCTGCTTTTTTAACAAGCTTGATCAAGTGATTGTCATGTCTATTCGCAGGTTTGATGTAGGATCCAAATCCAAGTCCAAACCCAAAAACACTAAATACCAAAAGTAGCTATTGAACTATAAAATTTGTTACAAAAGTTGATGAATATGTCGCTTCTCTTCCAGATTTCATGCCTTGTAAATGGAAATTGTGCACAGCGTTATTCAGCCGGCCGAGTCGTCGCGCTTTCTTGAGGCGCTAGATTCCTCAACAACTATTTGCCTCTTCTCTCCCCGGATATTTGTAGATATTTATCTGTGTCTCTTTTTTTAACGTTTCCCCAATTTCCTCTGGTCATGTGGTCGGCTGATGAATGATTTCTTTCTAGTTTTCTCCGGCTTCAGGCTGTATCTCTTCCGATTTTATTTTGATTTTGTTAAAATAAATTTATTTTCATGAAAGGGTAAGAATTGATCACAGATGATATGTTGCACAACAGAAAAGGGTTTTAAAGTGAATGTGAATGGGTAAGTACAGTAAATACACGAGTTTCTATAATGCAATCTTCTGAATTAGCACCAAAATCAGGGTTTTGGTATGTTTAGATGGGGGTGGGACAAATGCGCCCTTTTTTGCTGGAAAAGGCCTTAGGAAAGGTCGTAGAGCTTCAAAAATGTTTTCATAGAAGGGAATCGTATGCGTAGATTCAGAATTTTGATAAATCAGACCTCGCAGACACGTCAAATTTGGGCTTAAAGGCAAAAACTGCGGAAAAGCGTTAAGTTGCGTAGTTTTGCCTTTTAGCCCAAATTTGACGTGTCAGCGAGGTCTGATTTGTCGAAATTCGGAATCTACGCATACGATTCCCTTCTATGAAAACATTTTTGAAGCTCTACGACCTTTCCTAAGGCCTTTTCCAGCAAAAGAAAGGTGCGCAAATATCCAGGTGCGCAAAAAAAAGGTCGCATTTGTCCCACCCCCTGTTTAGATACATTTTTTGGGAAAGGTAGGGGTGCACAAAATATAAAGAAATGATAACACTATATTTAAATAGGTAAAATAGCTTTAGAACAAGAAATTAACCCATAAATCAATCATAGACCAGTATTCTGTCAGATTGTTCGTTGTCATCGTTGTCGGAAATGATCGGCTGACGATCCTCTGGAAAATAAGCCATTGAAAAACTTTTGCTAATGAATTTGCTTTGGTTTCAAAGAGTTAAATGTAAATTTCTTGTTTTGATTTTGTTTTAACCTCACTACTTTGTTAGAACTTTTAAGAACATTGGCCTGTTTCAAATTTGAAAAATATTGGCTTGTTAGGCTGTCCGGAAAGTCTTTTCGTTCCTTTTCGGACTTTCGTTTAAAACCAACAAATGCATCAATTGAGATACGGTTTGTTTTATTAGAAAGTCTAATAATTTTTTACAAAATAACATTAAAATGGATTTAAAATGACTTATGTGTGAATTTTTTTGGGAGCATCAAGTCGGGTAGTCAAAAACAGAGACAGCTCGATCACACGGACACTTTAGCTTTAGAAAATACATACTTTAGCTAAGAAAACCTATCTTGGTGTCAATAGATAAAAGATTGAGCATAAAAAGTTAGATATATAGTCAAATTTTCAGAGAAATTCATTCAGCCAATTCCTTCGTAGAGGTTTTTAAAGATTTTTAGGTTTATGGGCTTTTTTATAGTCCTTATGGATTCACTCTCGAATTTCCCTGAAAGTGAACCCAAATTGACTTAATCTTGATGACAAGTAGGGGTGATCCAGATGATGTGATACGGATTGTTCTTATTATTACCGTAAATACTGTAATAGTACCCCACCTCCATAATGGCGGTGCGGAGCGTTGCTTAGTCTAGCTTTGGACGCGTTTTTCTCGACACTGGTTTATGCTATAATGCGTGCTTAGGTATCAAAAAATAGCTGAGATTCAGGGCTATTTTTTGATACCAAAGACGCATTTTTGAAAGTACGGGTGCTTTGCAAAAAATGAAATACTAAAAAACTTTTGCGACTACGCGACTGTACGAGGGGGTGGGGTACTATTACAGTATTTACGGTAATCTATAACTACTTATAACTTGTTAATCTAAAAATCAGGTCAGTCATTAAGATTTCAAATCTAAATCCCCACCTTCTCTCGCTCGTCTCCTCTCACCAATACTTTGTGGAAGCAACGAGATGAGAACGATGAGTGCCAGGATTAGACAACCACCCGGCACAAAAGATTCCACGTTTCGGTAGAAGTTTGCGCATTTGGTCAAGTTGTCTTTTGAGCTGAAATTCGTCATTTATTATATGAAATTTTCAAATTGAAAGAATTGAAGAAGTTGAAGTTGAAATAAAAGTTTTCCCTTGTCAAGTCAATGTACGATGTAGCTATTTTGATTTCTTTTAAAAAACAGCTAGCTCTGAACGCAAAACAACTAGATATGATATTAGAATAAAGAATTTGGAACTATTAGATTGTAAAAAAGCTCACAACTTACAACTTACAACTTACAACTTAAAACAAATACTTACTTGCAGCTTGGGTTGATAAGCTCGATGATTTGATAGGCGATTCCATTGGCGAGTTTGTCCACAAAAGACATTGCGCCATAGACAAAGGCACCCGATTCCTAAACAAAGATTGCTAGCTAATCAAATCTAATCTAACCAAATCTAATCTAATCAAATCAAATCTAATCAAATCAAATCTAATCTAATCTAATCAAAGCTAATCAGATCAAATCTAATCAAATCTAATCTAATCAAATCAAATCTAATCAAATCTAATCAGATCAAAGCTAATCAGATCAAATCTAATCAAATCAAAGCCAATCAGATCAAAGCTAATCAAGATCATTATTAAACCTAGCATAAACTAGGCAAATTAACACGTTGACGACAATGGCGTTTTTGCACAAACAATCGCATGGGACAACGTTGTTTTTTTTCGACAAAAAATGTCACCTGACATCAGGTGACAATGTCCCAGGCGAACGAATATGTGTCAGACAGCATCAGGTGACAATGTCGTCAACGTGTTAATGGATAAAAACATTCACTAACCGTGTTTTTGTTGATCAAGTCAGCAGTGATGGCCAATGAAGTGACAATGAGAATCGATTGAGTGAAACCGAGAAGTGTTGCTACCTGAAATTTGTATTATGTTTAAGATGTTTTTTATTCGGAACTTGTAGTTCTTGTAGAACTTGTAGTCTTAATGCTATTTGTTAGCTCTTTTAGTTCTAGCTTTCTTGCCTAAACAAAAGTCTTAGTGCTATTTTTGAGTTGCTTTCATCTTTTACCCCATAAATCTCCCATCCAGGCAAATCGAATCGCATCCAAATGCAATTGCCGATACCCACGAGAATCCCGGAAAGAAATAGGATCTGAAAAAATGCTTTTTAAGCTTTCGTTTAACAAAAAAGTGATCTATCTTTTCACTAGTCAATAGATTTGTTACCTTCTTGTTGACGAGTCGATTTATGAATGGAATCGAGTAGATTGTGGACATAAAGAAGGAGGATATGTAGGAAACCATTGGGAGAATGGCTACATAACTCTGAAATACAACACTAAATAAGTAAATCGATGGTTTTAAGTCAAAATTTATCGAAATTTTTCAAATTTATCACCTTGTCTCTGCCCTGTGTGATTGTAACATAGAAGGGGAAATAGACTTGAGAGATGTTGATGATTAGACGAACGAGCATGTACAAGAAAGCAATCTGGAAGAGATTTTGAGATTAGTAATCGCATTTCAAATTTGTTATGCTTTATTCTTTCAAAAGCCAACCTGATAGAATTGAATATGTCCAAACCAGCTAGTCCAATGCATCCGCACGAGTTCACTAGCATCTGAAAGTGATTTACAATGGAAAACATTGAAAACAGTGAGCACAGTGAGCACAGTGAGCACAGTGAGCACAGTGAGCACAGTGAGCACAGTGAGCACAGTGAGCACAGTGAGCACAGTGAGCACAGTGAGCACAGTGAGCACAGTGAGCACAGTGAGCACAGTGAGCACAGTGAGCACAGTGAGCACAGTGAGCACAGTGAGCACAGTGAGCACAGTGAGCACAGTGAGCACAGTGAGCACAGTGAGCACAGTGAGCACAGTGAGCACAGTGAAAACAGATTTAGAATGGAAAACAATCATTCGAACACTCTTGGATTGCTTCAAAAGCTCAACAAGGGAAAGGCATCGAGTCAAGCTAGCCTTTTGACTCAAGAGCAAGTCCATCTTATAGAGTCGGTCATGGGGATCTCGAATCTGTTTTTAGTTTTTGCAAAACGCGAGATATCTAAATTTTGGACTCTTTACCGCGTTACATGCTCGCCCTTTGCTGGCCTAGTGGATAGTCTGCTAGACTACCGAACCAATTACGTTCTTTGTCCCCAAGTTCGAGTCCGACTCTCGCCAAACTTTTTTGCTTTTTTAAAAAACTATTTCCCGACTTATTTGCAATGACTTATTGACTCGAGTTTTATACATCGCTTTCTGTAACTTCGACAAATAATTTACAACCTTTCAAAGTATCAGAGTCAGTAAATCAGTATTGAAAAACGTAACATTTGTTACCACATTTCTGAAAGCTACAGAAAACAATATTATAAATCCAAAATGGTTAGGTCGGTTGGAATAGGGACTTATAACAAGATAGTACCTTCAACTCGTTTATTCATTGCAAATACGTAGGGAAATACCGTCATGATTTTAATAGAAACGCAGCCTCCAATAGAAGCAATTTTGTAGAATGGTTGAAAAATAGAAGCGCATGCGCATTTATTAGAATAAATACGGGGAGCAAAAGTTTGGCGAGAGTGGGACTCGAACTTGGTGACAAAGAATGTTCGGTTCGGGAGTCTAGCAGACTATCCACTGGACCACCAAAGCAGCTGTTAGGGAAGCGTGCCTCATAAGGAACTCGAAATTTAGCTATCTCGCGTATCAGCGTTCTGCAAAAACTAAAAACGGATTCGAGATCCCCATGACCAACTCTATAAGATGGACTTGCTCTCGAGTCAAAAGGCCAGCTTGACTCGGTGCAATTTAAAACGTTTATTTGTTCGGTTTTTTGTTCAACAACTACACAAACCTGAAGTAACGCTTGCCCTCCTTGATCGTCCAGTAGATTCATGTTCTCGTGTAAGCGCATAGAATGGAACAAGTGAAACAAGCCCAGCACCAACAACGATCAATCCCGCCGTCATGAACACTTTTAAATCTTGGGGTCCAATTGAATCTCCTTTTACATCATTTCGAAGTAAAAAAGCTAGAATCCCAAACACAGAAATGTTTGCCAGTACAGTCCAGGCGTATCTAAAATGTCGCGTATCTAAAATGTCTAAAATCTAAACATAATCAACAAGCTCTCAACTAAAGATAAAGTCTAAAATCCTATTACTATAGAAGCTCAATTACTTTAGAATTTTGATAAGCTTTTTGTCAAAGTTCTTTTTAAATCAAATTGATCAGTTGGGTGGTACAAGTCTTACCGCATCGAATTCATCGTTGATCGACTTTCATCTCTTGTCGACAAATCGGGAATCATTGCCAAGTGTGAGATCTAAAAAGCAAGTTGTTAAGCATAAAAGGTACTCAACCTGAACACTAGCCCATCCAAATTGAAACACCATGATGAACGGAATGTACCAGAGGACGGTCACCCATTCAGTCATCGCTGCAGTGCATGGAAAGCACTGATTGTAGATGAATGGGAAAGAGATTGTCACTGAGATTGCGCCTGTAATAATAAATAAACATTTAAAGTGATTTCTCCTTTTACCAATGACGTGCCAGCTCATGCGTCGACCGATCTTTCGAATCCAAGCTGGGAGAAAAGCGTGGTCGCTTCCCAAGCCAACCAATGGGGTACAAATTGCATCAGTCGCCTGAGACAAGACTTATTTTTTGGTAGTAAATCCAAATTGATCCATTTATGATGCTATTAGGCTATCCAGAAAGGCTTTTTGTTCTTTTCTTTTCGCAGGCTTTTCGCAATTTCGTTGAAAAATAACAAATTTACCAATTAATCTATGCTTTGCTCTAAATAAAAAGTGTTTATTGTTCAATTGGTGCATTTGTTTGTTTTAAACGAAAGTACGAAAAGGAACGAAAAGCCTGGACAGCCTAATAATCTAAATCCTAACAAACACATGGATTATTCTTGACAATTCAACTGTCATTCACTCAATTCCAAATACGCAGACATCTGTGGAAGCACATGTTTTAACCTCGTCCACTACCCGAATCTCTACTTCTTCAAAGCCCCAATGCAGGTAAATCCTTTTACTTTTTTCATAAGTTTTTCATGAATAAGTCAAAAGGGAAAATCAATTCTCTTTGCCGTTTTCCAGCTGATGCCTCATGATTCAGCCGTCGATCATTATTCCGCTCTTCAGACCGAAAAAGCGGCACAATTCAGACGGCAAGCTTCCGTCAGAGATCAAGGTAAATATAAACACAGTTTTATAGAGCAAATAAGATTTTCTCTAAGCTTCTAACAAGGAAATGACCCCAACTTGAAGTTCGGAATCGCTTAGAGCATAGGCTCTTATACAATCTTATAGAATCGACCACAGAGATCCAGAATCCGTAAAAAAATTTTGCTAAAGACCCTACAAATATTCGGATATTCGGCTTTAAAGTTTGTGAGCCCAAATTGACTTAAAAAGATGGAAAATTGAACAATAAACACTTTTTATTTGGGGCAAACCATAGATTAATTGGTGAGTTTGTTATTTTTAGTACGAAAAGAAACGAAAAGACTTTCTGGACAGCCTAACTCATCAATAAACTATAATATTCTTGACCAAGACCAACCTGTCCAATCAACATCAGCATCCCGGCCTTGCCGCTCTCAAGTTGAATCACTTTCTCCATGTAAATCATCAAATACGTAAACCACATCGATGCGCAGAGATCATTGTAGAAATGGCCCATTGAATAAGAGAGTTTGTGAAGGAAATTGATGTCCCGTTCCTCGAGTTGTCTCTAAAATTCAGTGTCAGTTCGGATTTGAGTAAAAAAACCAGTCTTAACTCACCCTTAGCCTTCTCCTGTTCTCCACTTCTTCATCATTTCTCACCGGTATCACGTCATCCATTCCTGAAATTTGACTTTATTAAATAAACACTGAAATCCACAGACTTGAGATCAGAAAATCAACAAAACACATAAAAAAACATATAAAGAAAACAGTAAATCTATTTCGATTTCGATTGCAACAACTCCTTTCGACTTGCATCAGCCAACAGCTCTGTGTCCACTTGATCTTCGGGTAATTGAACATATCTAACAACAGATCCTCGAATGAAAGCATTCTTCACAGCGATCAAATGCGGAAATCGATCAGGATCTGTGACTTGAGTGTCATGAAGAGTCATATTGAGATATTGATCGACTGAATGAAGAGTTCCATGAAGACAAACGTCATTCTTCAATTCCACAACCACTTCTTTCCCGACTAGCGTCTTAAAGAAAGAGAAGAAAAGCATCGAATGATCTGGAAATTTATTTATAAGCCTCAAACTCGTTAAAAGTATGAAATATGAAAGGCAAAAGTGAAGTTAAATAAGAAACTTGGTACTAAGAGCTTTAAATCAGTCTTTAATGGCTTATAAATCAGTCTCTAATAGTTCTCCAAAGAAAATGGAATGGAATCTCCAAAGAAAATCAATTATACGGCCAGTTAACGGTTTTTGATTGTTCGATGATGTCCAGTTCAGGAATTGTATAAAAGAATGATGACGAAGAGAATAGAAAAGTTCATTAAACTATGACTAACCAACACTATTTGTTTGTTTCTGGACAGTCCTTTCATAGACATTTCGAAAAAAGAACCGATTTGTTCCTAATGACAGTAGGAATCTGTGCACCCAACGGCAATGCGTTCTGCTAATTCCCTGTCGTGTATCTGCCATTGCAGTTATTGGAGCGAAAGCAAATTGCTGAAATGCTGAAAACATTACGTTCAGGTTGTATGGAAAGTAAAGTGAGCCAAGAAACAGCTTTAAGATGATGCAAAGCTTTGATACTACTGAAATTCTAAATTGAAATTTCTCGCCAAAATTTACTGCTCGACAGTGCAACTTTGATGAGTAACTCTTTTGCATTTTCAATTTGATCCATCTCCTATTAAGCTTTTTCAAGAAGTTTTTTCGTTCCTTTTCGTATTTCCATTGAAAAACAACAAATTCACCAATTAACCTATGACTTTCTCTAAATAAAAAGTGTTTATTGTTCAATTTCTCATCTTTTTAAGTCAAATTGGATTTGTCGGACATCAAGGTAATTTAAATTTTTATGGTATACTGGGTTCTACATAATTCTCGCAACAAGATAAAGTTCTGATTTTAAGGCAGACAAGTGCAAAAAAGACAAATTTTATATGAATGACATTTATTTTACATTAACAATTATAAATGAAATATCAAATTCGAATCGGCCACCATTAGCATTTGTAGGTCTCCGAATGAATGGAGTTTCAAGTTGAGTGATTGGGCAGTCCGAAGGACTCCGCGATACGTCTCCCTTAGTCTAGGTACGAAATATTGGGAAAGTGTCTGTATTAGAGAAATATAGAGTTTAGTGTGTGATTTCAATTTGATGAACATAAAGAGAGAATATGGATAAAGTAGTTTAACTAAAGTTAAACAGGAAACATAAAATTAAACTCTGCGTATTGTTTTTGTAGAGACGGATTTCTGATAATTGGTTAATCGGCCGGCATCAAAGAAAATGAGTTTAGATCATAAGTTGAAGGAAAGAGCTTTTATCTCATCAAGTAGACTGGCAAATTATTGACAGCTGTTTGCAAAAAGTTTGTTTTTTGTTTCTTTTACTGTTGCAAGTTTTACCAACACAGTCATGGGTCATTAGATTTCTTTTATTAAAACAAAGAACTCTTGTGAAAAACTCTTCAAAGTAACAAAAAAGGAAATATCGACACATAAAATGTGGAACCAGATTAGAGATCAGATAAAAAGTAGACTATTTGAGAACATAAAGCTAGAGCTGATGTCTTATTGAATTCCTTGAATCCCGAAGACATCCTTGAGCGTTTGCACTGTCCATCCCTCATCGAATAGATGATTCTGGGTGATTCGATAGATTTCCTAAACATCAAAAATATTGTTAGTTGCTTGATTTTAATTTTCTTTACATTCGAATCAACAAACCTCCTCAATTGAGTTCTGCACGACGAAATGGTGCACGGTAGTCGGCTTTGTTTGGCCAAAACGATCAATTCTACCAATTGCCTGAAACGAGTTCTAGTTGCCAAAAGTCGGAAAAGCTTTAAAGATTCTTTTTCTTACACTTACCTGAGCTTCTACACTTGTTTCGACAATCGGTTCCGCAAAAATCACATGGTTTGCTTCGGTGAGGTTGAGTCCATTGGCACCGCTTGAGAGTGGCATCAAACAGACCTGTATTTCAGTGTTAATTTCTAGAAATTCCTCTAGGACCACCTTCAAATCATGAGACGACTTGAATTCTTTCAACGTAGAATTCCTCTTGGTGTTCGTCTTCAGCTCAACAAAGGCGATGTGACATTGCGAAAAGGCTGAGTGTAGAGCCCGGAGCACTGGATCCATCGAAGAAAAGACGAGAATCTGAAATTAGATTAAATGTTTGAGGAAACTTTTAGGCTCTTGGCCGAAATCCGGGTGTTTTGGAAAATGTTTGAGTATGTTTCGTCGAGGTCATTCAGCTGCTTGTCTTTATCACTCTTTTGAACGAGATTAGCCTCATGTATTCAGTAGTTTAAAATCAAACTCCTGATCCATCAAAATTTTCAATTATATCATTTGCTTATTTCTTTTGGTATAATTGTTAATAGTCTGAATAAACCTATCAATTTAACAATTGCAACATTCAAAATACCCGGATTTCGGCCAACTTTTGCCTTTGGAACGTACTTTTGCATTCGGATCTTCTCTGATGATCTCGTAAATTCTCAAAACGATTGCTGAGATTTTGACAGAAAGTGAAACATCTTTGGGGAGCTGTTTTCCCAAGTCCTCTAGTTTTTTCTTGCTCGATCCAGGCATCTGCTCGTTGTTGATAGCAACATTTGGACGAGAAACGACCTGTGACAATCAAGTTAATGAAAGATCTTGGCCAGTTAGTTTTGACCTTTATTGACCTAATGAGTCTTATCGATTTTTTAAACTCATTCCAATGAGTCTCACTCACCTTGGTCACTTTGTAATCGATAGCATTAGACCGACATGTGACACATTGAACGTACTTCTGTCCTTTCTTTCTGAAAATTACAATTGAAGATGTGTCAAAGTTTCATTTCTTTCTAAAAATGCTTACAAGTGCTTCCAGCATCCTAGACAAACAGCGTGAGCACAGGGGAAAACCATCCACTCATTCTCGAGAGTATTGTAGCAAATGGGGCAGTCTCCTGGCGATCCCATATTGGCTCTAAAAAATCGAATTATTAGTCTAGTTCACAAAAGACCTGATTTATGTTATTGACAGTTTTTCGAAATTACTTACGCATGAAGATAAACAATCAGAGCAATCTCTCTCTGACGTTCAACGGTGAATTGTTGATCTGCGATTCTGAAGGCTTGGAGCAGTCGCTGAACATGCTTTTGGTAAACAACTGATTTGAATGGAAGTAATTTTTAAGCTTACATTATCTTTCTTCTTGTTCACGACCGTCTTCATCTCCAGCGTTCCTCCATAGGCTCTAGGAACGAAAATCTCCATACTCTCTTCGATCCTCTTTGACGCGTTCTCAAGTTCGACCCTGAAATTTAAATGCTAATGATTTTGAACAAGACTACCGTAAAAACTCGAACTCGCAAATAGAAGCGCACTCTCCAATAGAAGCGTCACTTCTATTTTATTTCGCGCACCTTGTTACTGTACTAAGCTGCATAAATATGCATTTTGAGAAGCATCTCTTTCTTTTAAGCATCTGCTTAAAACTTTCCACTTTCAATTAACCTTCAATTAACTAACTTTCTTTATCATTATTTTCTTTTTTTAGATTGATGTCGGAGCAATCTGGAAGTTTGAATCGACTTGAAGAATTTCGTGATCACCGAGAACACGGATTCTTTCAGAAAGGAAGCGAACATGAGGGATCTCCTTTGGGACAACGTTGATCAATTTAACAAGAAAGAAAAATTGAAGAAAATGTCGAGGTTATTCAAGAGAACGCCAATGTGCTTTGAGAGAAAAGACGATTCAGAAGAAAGCCTCGATCATGATCAAGTTTTTTGAAAAAAACTGAAGCAAAAACTGGGTCTACCTACCGTAATAATTCTAATAGAAGACCAGTCTCTAATAGAAGACCAGTCTCTAATAGAAGACCACCCCCCTGACCCCTTGAAATCGGGACTTTTAAAACTTCCTTTTTAAGTAGAATGATAGATTTCGGTCCAGATAGTAATATTTTAGCCCCGGCAGTTAAATTGGAGACGTAGTTTTTGAAAAAATTAAAAAATAACTTTTTGGAAAAAATTTTATGTGGTCCCCCACATGGATTTTTTTGAAAGATTTTCTATGGAGTCCGGGCAAGAAAATAATTTCACTTTTAGACATGTTTTTGGCATGTTTTGGGCCAAGGGCTATCGTTTGAAATAGTTTTTAACAATTTTTATTTTTTTGATTTATGTAGGGGACCCTTACCTACTTTTTTGACCGATCAATTTTGGGGGGTTGAAAATTAGAAGACCATGGTCTTCTATTAGAATTATTACGGTACTTTGTTTTTGTTGCTTAATGTTAACTTTTGACTGAATTGTTTGTACCTAAGTATCATCCTTCTGTTGTTCAATAAATTATTTCAAACGTTTTGGATTTTAACCGGGTTTTTGCATGAAATCTCTCGATTTGTTTTGTTGGATTTTTCATTCTTGCATCGAAAAATAGAAGCACAGTCTAGAGAAAGAATGAAAAATAGAAGCATGTGCGCTTCTATTAGTTTTTACGGTAGTTTGGTTTCTCAATTACGTGCATTAAGAAGAGCTTGAAGCTTTCGAAACTTACAGTTTGTGGGCCAATTCCTGCACCGCTTGCACTGCAGAGAGCGAAGCCTCGAACAACGGCCGAATCTGAGAAATCCATGCGCAGAAGTCATCGTACATTTGGTTAAACTCTAAAACTCAGATTTCCAAACATTAAACAAGCACCAAAAGTACTTGTGCTCGTTGCTTGACTCATTGGTACTCGGATAGCAATACGGAACACGTGAGCACACAGCAACTCGAAGGAGAAGCGACTGAAAGATTAAGTTCAGAATGTTAGCTGGGGAATTTTTTAAAAACATTCTTAAATTTTTAAACACCCAAAAATCTTGCGCAAACCTGTCTGTTTGAAGACTTGCGTCCCGAGTTCCACCCAGTAGTTCTCGAAGGTCACGAATGCGTCGACCGATTCGACAAGACGCACATCGAGTGTTGAGGAGTCTAAAGCACTTGGCTTAATGGCTTCTGATGATTTATGTTCAGTGAAATTTGGAGTAAATTACTTG